AGAGTGTCCACTCCTGACACAACAACATTTACACAGTGCAGTCAGATTGATTGAGTGTCCAGTTTACCTCATCCCCAAACTGCTTGTTTTTGGTTTGTGGGAGGAAACTGGAATACCTAAAGATAACCCAGGCCCACCCACTCAGAATGACCCTCAGTTAAAACTAGGTATACTTATCATTCAATATTTTAAAAAATAAATAAATATAAGGTTACAGAGGAACGCACCACTCCTAAAATGTGTGAGATTTCGTCCACAGTGTGCTGTTTGCTGCCTCGGGGCCAGTAATCTAGGAAATTGTGGATGTCCACTTTGAACTCCTTCATCTCATCCTCCTGCAGATCAGTAAGGTGATCCTCCAGCTCGTCCAACGTAGTTATCTGCATGTCAGACACAACACTACCCTCCTGGTCAATTCGCCACATGATGCGAGCCACCAAACTAGCGATAAAAAAAAAACAGATACAAGACAACGTTTCACTTTGAGGAAATTCACAAGGAAACTCAGCACACAAGTATTTTGTTATCAAAATGGTACCATTTTAGCTTGAGAAAGTCAACACATAAGCATTTAAAGACCAAGAAAATTTCATTTTTACATCAGTTTTTGGCCACTCCTACCGGATGTTCTCATTTGGCGCTTTTCCGAAGGCCTTGATGGCACTGCACTCCTGCTTATGTTCAGCCCAGCCAGCTCGTTGGCAGGTTCTGTCACAATAGTGAGCAAACTTGCACTGGCCACATCTCTGGAGTTTTTCTTGTCTCCTGAAGCAGCTGTGGCAAATACGCTCCGCTAGACTGTTAGAAAAAATATATATATAATGAAATGAATGATTTTTTTAAAAAAAATGTCTACCAAAACAGTAAATTATTCTACAAACCAGGAAAATCAAAGGTCTTTTTTCAGAACAGTCAAAATTCACCTCCTTGTGTGTGGTATTTTTGTTAGTTGATATAATTGCCTCATCTTGTGGTTAAAAACTTAAACTGGTCAACACCATGTGGGAATTAATTAAAATTCATTCTTTAATTCACTCAAAAATCGGAATTGAGGAAGATTCCTTGGTCAGGATGTAGCCAAAGAAACTCTATGTCATTTATAAGATAAATAGCTAAAGGTTATGATGAAAAAAATTTGTCCAAGCTGTTTTCAGGCGAACAGCAAACAATAGCCAGAAAGCTAAAAAGAAGTTACAAGGCAGCCAGAATATATGCAGACCACATAGACAATGGTTAGGTCAGGAATTTAGTCAAAATGTCAATAATGAATCTGTAAAAAATGCATAAAATTAACCGATTGTTTTACACAAACAGACACACACTCACAACTTTGATGATAACTATACCTGTCAAAAACAACAGCTGCAAGACTGGGCTCAGAAAAAATTACATCTCCAGCCCAAAATTCCTTGGTTGCCTTCAGGCCCCGTCCCTTTCCTGGTGAGTCAAATATCGCCACGTTCTCCATGGTACCGTAGCTGCAAAGGTCCCTGACACGTTGGTGTGTGTGGAAGGAGAGCAGTTTAGAGGGGAGTGTTGCAGTTGGAGTAAGAGGCTAAAAGAGTGACGAGGTAGTTGAGGAACTCAAAGACTAATCTGTGCCCACTGTGTTCTTAAATGACAACGGCACATTCCCCAGCCAAGGTACTAAAATAGACGGCCATCTCTTAAACTGTACCAAGAGACACGGAGGATGGGTGAGAGGTGAGGTGGGAGGTTCACTGAGGACAGTGCTGTCTTTGCTTAGCAGACCTGTCAATCAATCCAGCAAACTGGTCTCAAAGCAATGACACAAAATTCAAATTGTCAAACTTTTTTTTCATCATGAATAAAATGAAAAAAATAATTTTAGTCATGATGTTAGTTTAATGTTAACATTGACTTGGTACGTGCCTGGTTGTGGGGGGTATTTTTATCCCTCAGCTGGTGCTGCCTATCAGCAGTGTGTGGTGACGCTGGACAGCTGCGAGACATTTGACAGAGGGGGTGTGATCTGTGTCTCTGCCTCCACTCTGTTCTAGTGCTTTCTTCAACACAGACAGAATTACAACCAAACAGCAATACACTGTTACGTACATACACAACATTTTGTATAGCTACAGTTATAATGAGAACTTTTTTTTTTTATTAGAAAAATACAACTGTCTTTGTGGGTGACATTCAGCAACCCTAAACTTTTTTAACTAGTTATGTACCCATTCATGTTACTGCTTTATAATTATACTTATTTTGCTGGTATGTATATGTATATAGATATACATACCATAGAGACAATGTGGTATACTTTAAGTTTAATATATAGCATTCTACATTTAATTCAATAAGAGAGAATGCAATAATAACACCACATACGACAACAACATTTATCATATGGTTTTTAACCAAAATAACAGAAGAAAAGCTATTATTCAATACATTTATTTAGTTTTAGTTTCAGTGATATCAAACGTCAAAGAAGTCCAAGTGTGTCCCCGAAGAAAAGTCGTTGTCAAGAAGCAACTTCATCAGTTTTGCTGCAGAAACGTGGCACGGATTCAGATCGTTCACTGCTCCTGTTAATCTTTTGATATCTTCCTGCATTTCTGTGTCCATAGGACCTAAGGTAGAAAAGGTACACAAATGGAAGTTTATAGTGAAAATCTTTACTAGTAGAAATTATTGGGTTAAGCACAATATTATTATAGTCTTGATTAGTTATAAAAAATAAGACTTTACCAATATATCATCAGCCTTCTTGGATATGTTTTTTTTTGTTAAATCACAATATTAATTTGGGTAAACTTTTGATTTAACATAATGAAAATGTAAAATGTGTTATTCTGTTAACCTTTAACCTGGTTAAGAAAAATCAGTTTATAGTAATATACTGTATATATCACCTGCAGGGGAGGGAGTGACACTGCTAGTTGTATTTATAATCAAATCAAAATGGTTCTCTTTTGTATAGTTTATGTGTATATATTTTTTTTCAATTCATATTTAAATTCTGAATTTCTGTACAGTAATACAAAGATTAATGACCACATTTAGTGTGGCTTTGACCTGCCAGTTTGAATTTACAGTACCTGGTGAATAGCTGAGGACTTTAACATTTGGCTCTTCTTGTGCCAGCACATTGAACAACATCATTCTGGCTGCCTTAGCGGTGCAGTACAGCACCCAGGAGGGTGAGGCCATCAGTGCAAACATGGACGAGACGTTCACCACAGTCCATCGCAGGTCAGTTCTGCATGGGAAAACTTGCAG